AAAAAACTATAGTTTGTGGGGAACAAATAATAGTGTTGCACTACATATGGTAAAATGTTACACATTGCTATTTGTATTATTATAAAATCCATTCATTAAAAACATTCATGAATGTATTTATATACAAGTGTATATACTATAAAATTAAAATGCATTTCTTTTTAAATGTATAGCATATTTTTTAATAAGACAACAACATATGATAGATACGATAGGACAAAACAAATACAGTGCAGCACGAACTGTTTTTATACAGTCTATGAGCACGAAGCGCTTACAATGTGCGCATCCTGATGCCGTGTTGCTTCAAGTGCATCATTCTGCACACCGGATGCACACATTGTAAGCGCTTCGTGTTAAAAACTGCAAAGCACAAAGGGAAGAGAAATTGATGCGTAGTGTATTATATCTGTGCAACAGCTGAGCCTTTCTTTTAACAGTTTTAAATTTCATTTACTGTGCACGTTAAAAACAATTAATTTTCTACGCCCGTGTTTTGTTCTCACAGACACCCGGTAGTAAGTAACAAAACAACATTAAACTCCGGCAAGAAGATAAAGTCCTTTTTGCAAAATCATAGACATGTATTTACAAATCAAGTATAATGGGAACACAGAATGATCTTGGAGAGAGCTGACTGTCGTAACCGAATGCGACCAGGGTTTAAAGGCTGAACGAATGACTGACAGCGGAGAAAAGAGTTTGTGTGAACTTTAATGTAAGGACTTAAATATTCATATGTAGCTCACATTAAGCTATCGTATGGCTTCAGAAGTAACACAGAATAATTCGCACAATCGGGGGAAAAATAAAAAATCTCAGATTTGGATCGGCCCTCTCTGACCGATACCCGATCCGAGAAAAATGGCACTATCGGAGCCGATACCCGATATGAGTATCGGATCGGCGCATCCCTAGTGTATTAGCTTGTTCAGGTGTGTTTGATTAGGTTTGGAGCTAAACTCTACAGGACAGCGGCACTCCAGGACCGACGTTGCCTAACCCTGCATTAGTGTAATGGCTTGCCCTGTCAGATGCTTTGACAGATGATGCGTGTGCGTCCTCAGCACAAAAACTTTGTTTAAGGTCATATATCCTTATGTATAAATGTCACAAATTCACGCGAGCATTTCCATTTTTGCATAAAGGTCCGT